TCATAAATATGACCGTGGGTGGTAGTTGGTCGGCCGACAAGCGGGGCCGCGGCGGACACCCAGGGGACGCACGGCGCGTCCGCGCCAACGCATTTCAAGCGCAATTTTGGACCGGAAATGGGTCCGTGCAGACATGAGCAGACGGTTTTATGAATGGGTCGGCGCGTTGGGCCGGTGTTTTTGTCCACCGAGACCCAAACAGACGTGGGCGAACGAAATGGGTCGACCCGTTAGAGTTGCTCTTAACTGCGGAGGAAATGATTGCCAGGCGTTATTAAGCAGTAACGAGTCCTTCCATCACATTTACAAGTGTACGGACAACTCTCTCCCGGCGGGTGCTCTCTTGGTCCATCTTCATCTTCGTCCTCTTCTTTCTCGTCCTTTTCTTCTTTTCAACTGTTATTCTTTTGGTTTTGGCTTTTAACAAGCCTCCCGTGCTTTCAACCCAAATATTCTCTCGGCAGGGATAACAACACATGATCTGAGAACTCGACTCACTCTTTTCTAGTAGGTGTTACGACCTAAGGCATATGCAACGCGGATCACTAAATGAACAGACATCTGGAGAGGCTCTGGTCATCGAACGATGTCCCTAAAAAATTCTTCAGTTCAAACATTCCAAACACGCAAATTTGACAAAATTTAGACTAGTTCGGTATATTACATGCAAATTTGACGAACTTTAACTGCTTGATAAATATTACACTAAACTACTCGAAATTAAACTAAATGGTGGACGGCGACCTTGTAGGCATGGCCTGTAAGGCCACTCCGACCGTCCTCACCGCCTCGTCGTCGTCATCATCGCATCTGGGGGCCGTTGAGGAAGTCGGGCCAGCCACCGACATATGTCCTGGGCCTCGGTAGCACGCTTGCCCGTCTCCGCCGTGTATACGCCTCCGCCTTTCAATACTTTTAAATTTCATTAAACTTTTTATTCAAGGACACACCCACTAACTAGTTGTTTATATTCTCATGTAGCAGGAATTCTAGCTTTTTTATTATAACAAGAAAGGGCATTTTTTGTTTTGTTTTTAATTAAATTGAATGCAAATTTCTTTTAGATTTTAACGCTTGTTTCTTTGTTTATAAAGTTGGGCCTTTTTTTTGGCCCATGTTGCTTGGTTTCCATGAAAGGATTTGTTCCATCTGAGGTACCCATAAATCCGAGCTTCAATGCTGACCTACAAATTTGCTTCCGTGTCCATCAGCGGACAGGGGGGCAGTCCGCGAAGACAGATGCGGGAACCGGCCATCCAACACTACCCGTTTACATTTCTTTCCGCATTTCAATAGACCGCGTGTAATTCTTGCAAACTCGGCGGAATTCATCAAAGTTTGGATAGAATATAGCAAAATTTATCCACACATAGCATGGAAATAAGTCCAGTACAACAATATTTCAAATTCAACGAGATTAACTGTATGTTCAACAAGTTTTTCATGAACGGATCAAGTCGTCTCACGCATACTGCCCCTTCAGGTTAATCCAACAGTGCATGTACGTAAATAGCCTTCCTCAATCTTGTGGCACATCATGGCAACGCGTACAGGCTATACAACGTGTAGAGCAATATTGAGTGAATGAATGATTCAATCGACAAGTTGAGCAACAAGAAGTAAAACTTACGATCTCCTATGCTGCCGCGCAATGGCCACCTTGCCTCCAGCTGAGCAACCGCGTCACAAAACTGGTGACAATGGTCTGGATGGCGTACGATCAATACGATAATGACCTCACATTGCGTAATGTGCTTTCATGTGTGAAACGAATCATGCACACGTTGCCAGAAGAGCCCCCTTCTGCTCTTGATTACGAAATCCGTGGATACGGCCAACCACCGCATCACACAACAACTCATCCTCCATGGTCGAGTACTCCGCCATCCTTTGTACTCTAAAAAAACGACATGGCATTAAAAAATAAGCCCAATGACATTTTGACCGAATACCTGCCGGGCATGGTGTCTGCCATGGACGTCGTCGACAAGGGGTGGAGTGTACCTGGCTATGGACGGGTCCTAGGTAGACGACACCGTCGTGAAAGGTGAGAGGGCGCGTCGATGCTGGTTGCGAAGGTCCGGCAATGCTTGTGTGGCGGCCAGAGGGGTATAGCGACGGAGTTGGAGGAGGAGGGTACGGATGCAAAGCAAAAAGGAGAAGGGACAAATGGAAGAAAATGAGACCGGGGTGGGGGATTTAATGGGCCCGGGTTGTTGAAGTCCTATGTGGCTGCTGTCTGGACTCTCGCAAAGTCCCCATCCCCTCACTTCGCTTATGGTTTACAAAAAAAGGTGTGTCCAGACCGCTCGGCGGACATGGCAGTCGGGATCATTTGATAGACCGATACAGACCCACGTTAGAACATGGCCTTAGGTCCCTTTTCCCGTTCTTGTTGCGCATTATGGTATGACTGAGACTGAGTTGGGCAAGAGCAAGCGGTTGGATTGGCCTGACTCTTCAAGACCAATGATACTCGGCTTCCTCTTCATCAAGTCACGAAATTCGATCCTTAGTTAGCAGCATCAAAACTAGAGCAGGCCCAAGACAAGCAAGAACTGTCAGTTGTTTAGCGGCCAAAGACAAGCAAGAACAGTCAGTTGTTTAGCGGCCAGGTCTCTGTCCTTTCGTTTGAGCTCGATATATGGTGATATTTTGCGTTATATATGATGATGCATGGACTTATGGCCTTTTCTCTAGAAAAATTCAGAGCCTATATGCACGTCGCAACTCGCAAGATGACCTTTATTTCAGTCTGCGCAAAACCTAGTAGCACTATAAAAAAAATCCATGATTGCGGCAATTTCAGCAACAGCCGAGAGTAAGACCACAATCAACACCACGTTTATAATTATAGACAAGACACAGAAACTGCGATTCTGAGGGAGCATTTTGGTCAGGCTTTCTCATATGATGAAGTTCTGCTCATGCATTTCTGTGCCTCAGTATCTCCACTCCCAAGTAGTCCACGACGCCTTGCACCGCGACATGAGGTTTCCCGACCTTCACTCGAACAGCAGAGATCTGAGGGAACTTGAGCAGCGTGGTGTTGGCAATCGATTGAGCCACCGACTCCAAAAGGTTACGCGACGGACCTTCTACTACACCCTTGGCTATCCTGCAGGATGACATACTTTGGTATCAGGAAAGCCAAAAGGAAGGGATTAGCTTACTGTTGATCCACTCAGTGCTTGTACACTGTGCTGACAAGATGAATCTTTTTTTTTTTTTTGAGAATCACCAGGGGAGGAGTCCCTCCATCTGAATATATTACTTAAAGTGGCCATTATGTCAGGAGAGTGATCCAGTTTATAAAGGAAATCGGATCGAAAACCTAAACAAGTTGACCTGTTTATAAGGGAAACCGTGCCGAAAACCCAACAAGGTTACAAGGAGAAGAGAAGAACAAGACACCCAACAAGGCGGGACCTAGCTAACAAACTAAAAGGACCATCACCATGAAAGATACAAGTAGTTGTGGGGTGTTGTCAATGGATCACAATACTTAGACTTTGCGAGGAACCTAACGCACCGCATTGCGTGCATACCGAGCCCCACGGCACAACTCAGGAGCATCCACAACCAACGAGTGCAAAAAACACGAACCTTGACTGGGTGCCCCGCCACGGAAGATCGGAACGATTAACAAGTTGGGAAGGCAACTGGCTCCATCAAATAGCGAAGATGAACCAAGACATCACCAAGAGCACGATGCTCGCCGCAACACATCGGCCGCCAAGGGAGAGTCTTGAGCATGCATAGCGAGACACCTTCACACGGGGGAAACAGATGGCCGCCCTGCTGCGCCCAAGCCACCGCCACCAAACCCCAGAGAACACCACCAAACAACCACCGTCGACTCCAAGCCAGTCGCACCACCACCAGCACCATTGGACCCTCCGACTGATCCCAAGTTGGCCACACCACCACCACCACCAAACGCTGCAACCTCAACCACACGCAGGCACAGAAGCCGTCGTTTGGGTCTCCAAGATGACGCCTCCAAGGAGGTAGTGCCGACAAGGACACAAGATCGTCATCCGATCTGACAAGCCGGATCTTAGGTTTTCACCCGGATACCACAAAACAAAGTACTGCAGGTGCTGGAGCTCCACAACGACACCTCCTACGAGGAAAACTATGTCCGCAGACACCATTGCCGCCGACATCGACATAGTCGATGCAAGGTTCTCACCCGGAGTTTGAGCACATCCCTACAGCAAGACGGTAGCTGACCACCACCACCATCGGGCCCCTCCGAGACGAAGAAGCACCCCGCGGAGACCGCAGACGGCCAAACATCAACACTAGGCACTGGATCCACCAATGGCCGTCCGAACGCTGGGCCACCGGACGCAGCGCGAGCCGCCGAACCTAACCGAGCACCATGCCGGGTGGAGCAGAGGAGTGCTGCCCGAGGCCAGGAACCACCATGGTTCCGGGCTGCAGCCAAACATCAGAAGCACCAACACGCCCCACGCGCGCCACCGTGCACCTGCCGAAGACCAGATCCGAAGTGCCACAGCAGACAGCACCAACCAAAGGCGGGGGAGATCCAAAACCGGCTGCAGTAGTCCCACCTCGCACCACCAGCACCACTCACCGCCACCAGCCTCCACCACTCCCGCCTCCACCACCCAGCAACACCACCTCCCCAAGCCGGACCACCACGGGCCAGATCCGCCCGGATCCAGCCAGGCCAGCGAAGCACCACCTATGCACCTCAAGCTCCACCAGCGCGGGCACGGGCAGGACGCACGCTGCGAGGGACCCAGATCCGACCCCCTGCCGGCACAGAGAGGCCCTCGCCGCGAGCTACGGCCCCGGACGCCAGCTGCCGCCCCTGGTATGCGAGGAAGCCAGCACCGAGAGAGCCCCGCCGCCACCATCCTGGGCACGCGCGGCTTCGCCGACGTCCCCTCCGGCGACGGCGACTCCCACCGCAGTTATACCATCCGATACGGTCCGTTGCCAATAATATTTTGGCTCTGGAAATGCAACATATACAATGGACTAATTACAGGTCGAGGGTACCAAACCCACACCCGGTTTGTTAAAACAACCGCAGAGTTAGTTCTGAGGTGCATAGCAATCGAAACGTTCTGCAAGGAATCACTGTGAACGGACGCATGGCAGGATTCTGATACGAATGGTTTGCTAAACTGTACCGTGACGCCAAGCAGGTCGATCGATGAGCAGTGACAAAGTGGACTGAAATTATACAGCACCATGATGAGACTGAGACGGGGCGGGGGCGGGGCAGTGCACCTGTAGATGTCGCTGTAGCTGACGGTGTGGGAGATGTCGTCGGAGTCCCCGGCGGCGGCGAGGTCCATCCAGGCGTCGACGTCAATGACGAACTTCTGGCCGAGCTTCTTCTCCTCCTGCTTCACGCCGTGGAACCCGTGGAACTGCAGCCCCCGCAGTATCAGCTTGTCACCGCCCCCCGCCATGGCTGCTCCCCACCTAACGGACTCGATCGATCGTGCGCTCACCGGCGCCTCCTTCTCTAGAGCTGGCGCAGGTGGGTGGGTGGAGGGTTAGGTGAGATTTGGGCGGCTGGAGCCGGGGGCGTGCAGGTGAGGTCCGGGCGTTCGGTAGAAACTCGATGATTTTGCAATTTCAGATAGCGGGAAGGGGAAAATCCTGGACGAACGAGCAGCCGCTTGGGCGTCGGCGATTTGGGAATTGGGATGGCGAGCTGCTGCGTGCCTGAGATTCGGAGCGGTCAGGGGAGGCGTGGGCGTCCGGCGTAGCAGGCGAAGGAAGGTCGCAGAGCGGCTGGCGATAAGTTTTCTTTTTCAGGGATTTTTTAGGGATAGGTAAGGGCATAAGTAGCAGGCCTTGGGCTGCATTACGCTTTGTAAATCAACTGCCTGGGCCTTTTTCACTCCATAAAATATGAGGACAAATCTTTGCTCTAGTGCTGAAAAGTGTTTACTAGCCGTCTTCTGATATACTCCAGGCTGAATTGGGAAGCCATCCGAGCCCGGTATGACGGGCTATCATAGAGGGAAGGGATGTCCTTAAGCAAGGATTGATAAAGAGAATTGGCAATGGAGCAGACACAAACATATGGACCGATAATTGGTTACCCAGAGAGAAGATGATGCGTCCCTACGGGAGTATCTCGCCAAATCCACCAACACAAGTGTCAGAGCTCATAACTACTGTGACCCGCATCGTGGAATAGACAGCTTGTCCAACAAACTTTCATGCCCATGGATGCTACAGTTATTCTCGGTATGCCAATATGTACTCGAAACATCGTAGATTTTTTGTCACGTCCCTAGTTCTAGTCTGCTCTGGGTTAGCTAGTCTTGTGTTGCATCATGTTTAAATTTCTCTTAATTTGAAATGAGGGATGTTTAAACCCTAGCATCAAATGGAATTCAAATAAGTTCAATCTAAAAATATTTTCAATGATCCCAAAATGCCCTTAAAAAATGTTCATAATTTAGGGAAAAGGGTGAAAACCTTATCCTGTGATGATGCATATTTTTCATTGGCATTTTAGGTCTTTGAATTAACCGACTACTTATTTGAATTGGAGTTGTAAAATTCTATAAGTAATATTATAGCTCTAATAATTTTGGAAAATATGGTGGGGCTCTGTAATAATCCTTTTTGCATCCTCAAAGTTTTTCCAGAAATTATAAAAAATGATTTGGTGTTAAACTAAATCAAAACAGAGGCAAACAAATTAGAAAACAAAAGGAAATTAGGAAACAGAAGAAAGGGAGAGCCTACCTGGGCCTTACCTACTGCAGCAACTGGGCCAGTCCACCACAGCCCAGGTGCCAGTCGTCTCCTTCCTTTGCCAGGAGGACGGCGGCGTGTCGCACGCACAGGAGGCGAAGCCACCTCCTGCTTCCACCTCCTGCTTCGTGCTGGCGGCCTCCCCTTCGGGCCTATCCGCGCCTGGAGACGCCCAGCACCCCTTCGCTCCTCTCCCTCACTCTCTGCTCTCTTCCTCGTCCTCTGCTCCCTCTCCCGAGCACACCCGAGCGGAGCCCGTCGCCGTTCGCCGCGGCCACCAACCCCTCCATGCCCAGCCAGCTAGCCCATGAGCTCCGCCTCTCTGCCGTGCACCTCTGCGACGAATCCTGTGAGCCCGGACGCCCTGAAGGGACGCCTCCAAGCTCGCCAGCGCCACATCTGCCGCCGGACGTCGTCGATGGATTCGCAGCGACCAGAGCGCCCCCGAGCCGCTGAGCTTTCCTGCGAGCCCCCTGTGAGCCTCCGGTCAATTCCCCTCTTCTCCCCACGTCGATTTTGCGCTCTAGCCACAGATGCACAGAGCCGAGTTGTGCTCGCCGCCGGCCATGTCGCCGTCATCGCTACGGGCGCTCAAGCTTGCGTCCGAGGGCATCTTCGTGCTCATCACGCTCCCAGGAGCCAAGAACACCCACTAAATCTTCCTCCCGCACACCACAACGCCATCCCGGCCAACCCCGTGCGGGCGCCGCCGTAGATGTGCTCCCCGCCGCCGACCCGTACCACCTCTGGTCATTTTGCGGGTGCCAATGGACGCGGACGAGTTCCAGGATCCCGTCCGTGGTCTCCGCCGCTGGTTTAGTCATCGGAGGACGTTTTCCGACGCGCTCTGCCGCCCCTGCCGTCGCCGGCGATTAACCACCAGCGAGTCTGACGTGGCAACGTCATTAGTAACTAATGACGTCGCTAACTAACCCCTCCAGGGACTCACGATGGACCCCACGTCACTAACTAACCACGGGTTAGCCACTGTGTCAATGACATGTGGGCCCCGCAGGTCAGGTTTGACCTGAACCAGGTCAGTTGACCGCCGACGTCACACTGACGCCAGGCTGACGCAGGCATGACACACTGCTGATGCAATAATCGTTTTCTGGATTTAAAATAATCCAGGAATTCCAGAAAATGTCCTAAACTTCTAAAAATCATAGAAAATCAACCGTAGCTCAGAATGAAATAAATTATATATGAAAAATCATCAGAAAAATCCAATCTATCCATCTGTATCATTTTCATGCATGTTAGAACAACTTATGGCTGATGTTTAGGACAAATCATATAAATGGCATTTAAACCTTCACATATGGAGTTTGAATTTGAATCTTGGATTCAAACCAACTTCATTTAACCTGTTGTTAGTTGCATTAGCTCAAATCGCAGCATATTGCCATGTCATGATCATGCATCATATTGTTGCATTGCATTGATTGTGTTTCCTCTCTGTTGCCGGTAATTGTCCCCTCTCAGTAGACGTGTACCGACGATGTGATCGATGACACCGATGAAGAACTATACTATCTTCAGAAGTGCCAGGCAAGCAAAAACCCCTTGTTCATTCCGATACAATCCCACTCTCTCGCTCCTGCTCTCTTTTACTACATTAGGACAACAACGATTCATCTGTTACTTGCTGCGGTAGCTGAACCCCTTTATCCTCTGCATGACCTGTCATTGCCACAGTAAATAGATGAAATCCACTAGCATGAGTAGGAGTTATTTGAGCCCTGATGTGCCTACTCATTCATGTTTGTTTGTCATGCCTGCTACTGCTTAGAGTTGAGTCGGGTCTGATTCATCGGGGATGAATTGGAGGTGTGTAAACATGTCCTACTGAGTGTGAGCTAAGTGTGTGAACACGATTTGGTAAAGGTAGCGGTGAGAGGCCATGTAGGAGTACATGGTGGGTTGTCTCATTGCAACTGTCCTCAGGAACTGAGTTCTGTGTTTGTGATCCATGAACAGTTACTACCACACATTGGGTTCCGGTAACTCGACCCCTCTCGACTTATTAATCAACTCGATCTCTGTCCAGGAGTTGCAACTAGTTTCTGGTGTTTGTAGGTAGTGTTAGTAGTCTACCAAGTGGCACCCGGTACAGGTGGGCTTGGGACAGACTAGGCACAGTGGCATGGTGTACCAAGTGGCACCCGGATGGTGGGCTTGGGAACCCTGCTCACATCGTTTGGGGCCGTGAGCGACACCCCGGTCGGATCTCCTTGCGGATGGAACCCGAATAGGCGATAAACCTGGACGAGAGACTTGTGTGGTTAGTCAGGTCGTGGCCGACTCCCTCGCCAGGCTTCCGCTTGAAGGTTGCCGAGATACATGACGTGTACATGGCGGTAAGTGGCGAGAGCATGTGTGAAGAAGTACACCCCTGCAGGGTTAACATTATCTATTCGAATAGCCGTGTCCGCGGTAAAGGACTTCTGGGTCGCCTGTACAGTTCATAGACAAGTGAAAGTGGATACTCTAAAATACGCAAGATAAGTGTGAGTGCTATGGATGGCGTTCTCGTAGGGAGACGGAAGCGGATCCATAGTGGTGTATTGATATGGTGAATATGTGGACTCGTGTGCGCCACCTCAAAAGAGTTACTTGCAGTCGTAGTTCAGGTTAGCCACCGAGTCAAAGCTGGCTTGCTGCAGTTAAACCCCACCATCCCCTTTGTTGATAATGATGCATATGTAGTTAGTTCTGGTGTAAGATTTGCTGGGTACATTTGTACTCACGTTTGCCTATTTTACGTTTTTTGCAGAGAGACTTCAGTCTCACTAGTAGTTCCGCGTGGACTTCGACGTTTAGCTTGTTACCTCAGCTAGGATCTTGTGCCCTCGGCAGGATCTGGTAGATAGTCAGGCTTCACAGCCTTTTTCATTTGTAGATGCCTGTACTCAGACATGTTAAGCTTCCGCTTGTGCTTTGACTTGTATGCTTTGAGTGTTGGGTCATGAGACCCATGTTTGTAATATCTCGCTCCTCGGAGCCTATTGAATAAAATACTTGAGTCATAGAGTCATGTTGTGATGCCATGTTGTATTTGCACATATCGAGCATATTGTGTGTATGTTATTGGAATGCTTGGTATGTGTGGGATCTGACAACCTAGTTGTTTATCCTTGGTAGCCTCTCTTACTGGGAAATGTCTCCTAGTGCTTCCACTGAGCCATGGTAGCTTGCTACTGCTCCGGAACACTTAGCTTGGCCAGCATGTGTCCTTCTTCGTTCCTGTGTCTGTCTCTTCGGGGAAATGTCACGCGGTGTCTACCGGAGTCCTGTTAGCCTGCTACAGCCCGGTTTACCGGAGTCCTGCTAGCCCAGTTGCTACAGCCCGGATTCACTCGCTGATGACCG